CCACCCCCACTCTGCTGAATGTTAAAGGGGGATCGCTCCCTGATGGTGCAGTGGATGGATGTCAACCAGCTGAGCCAAGAGGAGAACCTGCACTCAAAGTGTCTGTGTGTGGACCGCCTGCCGTTGGACCTCTGTGACTCTGAGGAACTCACGCAGATCTTCTCGGAGACGTATAAACCCATYTTCTGCCAGGTAAAACTCTGGAGCTCCTCTGCGTTCTTGATCAGAATGTTCTGGAATACTTGTTTCGTCCTGTGCTGAGAGTGTGAACCAGTGGGGTGTTGACTAGAGGTGTCACGCTTAAGAAGATTGACCTCTGTGGAACGAGCGCAACGCCATATTGGAAGGGGTGGGCTCATTGATGTAAACCATTTATTATGGCCAGATTTCCATGTAGAATTCCATATAAATATTGGTTTTTATTGGTTAGCTTTTATTGCAAATGTGTTTACCTTGGCAGCATGTTTTTGACTGATATGATATGTACTGACAAGCATTTCTATCAAATCAAAATAATGGTTGTCAACAGAGAACTGAGCTTCATTGATGGACCAACCTGAATTTAACACGTCATGGTTCCTACGTTCAGCTTTACCAACCAACAGTTCTGTCTGTTGAGTTTCTCGCCCCTCATAATGTAGCCACGCTCTCTGCCTATGAAGGGTCACGTGATAGCACCTCGGGTCAATGATTGTCCCAATTCAGGGGCTGCAGCCCACGCATTGCGCATTTGTCTGCAGATTACATCACTGTGCCGAGCTATAGGCTGTCTCAATTCGCTTGACAAAACCCCGAAAACGTAAGTTGCATCTGAGTGTCCTACACGGTCCACGATCATTGCGTGATCAGTAAACTAAACAGAAAAATGAAGCTGGTGAAGTTTATTTATTATTTTTTGGTTTGGTTGTTTGGGGKTTTTTTTAAAGGTAGAATTTGGACATTCACTACCGACAGAAGAACTTGTTTTTAAATTTATCTTAGCAATTTAGGCCTGTGTCACACAGCAAGATTTTTACACAGTCGGACAATTTTCAAAGACTGAGAGAGCCCACATATGAGTATAAAAAATCTTGAATATACCAGGTTTGGACCTACAGTGTCTGGTGTAGAGCCACACGGGAAGAGACAACACACCAAACATGGACAAATATTTAATTTATGAACATTTTTATGAGCTTYATATATAACCTGCAGAATATGATATTCAACCAACTCAAAATTTTAATAAATTTAATTGATGAAAGAGTATATTAGATGGGTGATAGTATATGGA